TCACTGGTATTGTCACCTAAATTCTTTGGTGACCAACACCTCCCGCACTAAAGGAAGTTCTCTGTGGATCAGCCACCTGACCCAAATGTGCTCAAAACTACTTTCCCTGTGGAATTAAAGTCTTGAGTACCCCACTAGCACCACAGGAAAGGGGGGACCACTTTGAGTATTTTCTATTGAGAGCTGGTAGCATCTTCAGATTATGGGGAATCTTGGAAGCCTGGGATGGATGTTAGTTCGTTTAGGAAGACGTTGTTTCTTCCCCTCCCCTCCTTGAGCCTTTAGAGTTGCAAAAACACAGTTTAATTTAAAATAAAATTTAGTGTCTCCCAGGTGGTATTCATTTTAGCCCCAATAACAAAAGCTGTAGTTAGTAATTTGCAGACTCTATCTGTCTGTCTATCTATCTATCTATCTATCTATCTATCATCTATCTATCTATCTATCTATCTATCATCTATCTATATATCTATCTATCTATCTATCATCTATCTATCTATCTATCATTCATTTATCTATCATCTATCTATCTATCATCTATCTATCATCTATCTATCTATCTATCATCTATCTATCATCTATTTATCTATCATCTACCTATCTATCATCTATCTATCTATCTATCTATCATCTCTCTCTCTCTCTCTCTCTCTCTCATTCCATTTTGCCCCACACCACTGCTAGGAGCTGACCTCTCCAATGACTGTGCCCCTGGCTCCGGACCACCTCATCCCATAACTGTGCACCCACTTTTTATTCTGAGGATTTGAGATTTTCTTTGCATCTCACCCCCTCAGACATTGTAAAATATTTTTAGAGATTCATAAAAGTCGAATACACCATATTCTGAGCTTCCCCTTGGGCTTAGTTGATCTTTTGAGGGGAATTCTAGTTTAATGCTGAGATCTCGCATTGATTTAACAAATATTTATTGAGTGGCTACGATGCAGATACACGAGGGACATAGGTGAAGGTCGGTCTCAGTGCAGCTAAAGGACATAATGCACAGTAAGCACCAGAAGTCAGTCAGTAAATTAGAGGATATGTTAGAAGGTCATGCAGCACGAGGAAGTGGGGTGGGTGAGGGCCCGCGAGGCAGGTGGACTGTGGGATGAGGTAGGACATCAGGGTTGATCCCACTGAGACACTTGAGCGGTGATTTGAAGCTTCTGAGACAGTGGAGGTCAGGGTGCAGCCTCCTTGGCGTGGGGCTGGGCATCCATCGGGGTGAGTCCTCCCTCTGCTGTGACTTGTGAAAGGGCTGAGCCCCAGCATCTGTCTGGCTGGGAACCTGGGAGGGGGAGGGGAGAGAGACTGAGGGGCTCTAACGCCCAGGCCGCCCTTCATCTGCCCTGTGTGGTGAGTCATCACTGTCATTTTCTGTGCAGTAATTCTATGAAAGTACCCTTTCCATAAGTTCTTTGCTTGGAGTAGTTTCTGAGGCATGTTGAAAATTTGAAATTCTTCCATCTATCTTTCTCTGGATTCCGCTATCAAGAATCGCTTTGTGTATAACTTTTTTTCCCCCCAAATCATAAATTTGTGAGATTGGAGAAATATCCATTTATTTGTTTACTTCTTAATGTACATAAGGATTTTACCTATAGTGTTCATTGCAAGAATGACCTATTTTAATGTGCCGCAGATTTAAAATTAAATAATTAATCAATAATCAATTCTTCTGACAAACTTTTCCATTTAGGATTTGCTTCTACTTAGCCATAAATCTATTTATCTGCACATAAATATACATGTCCTTTATTAAAATATAATTTATTGGGGTGACATTGGTTAATAAAATTATACAGGGTTCAGATATACATTTCCACAGCAGATCTATGTATCATATTGTGTGTTTACCACCTAAGTAAGAATGTACATTTCGTGATGACGAAGCACTGGTAATGCAGGTTAGGGTTTCTTTAGTGTGACCCTCACAGAAATAGTAAATACAAACCCTTTCCAACCAAGATCTTTAACATTATAAAAGCAAACTAATCTATCCACGTGGAAAACATCCAGAAAAATTTCCCCAAATGGAAATATGTTTGCAAATAGCTGTCACTGGTCCCATTCTCTTCATCGCTCATCTCCACAGAGAACGCGGTTGGGCTGGAAGCCGCAGCCGCCTCCTGGTCGCAGGGGCGCGGCCGCGTGGAGCCCGTTCCGAGCGCTCAGGCGGGGCCGGGCGGCGTCTTAATCAGGAGAGGGCCTGGACTGCCTCATCACTGGTTTCCACTGAAACTGGGGCCTCCGCTGTCCCCGAACTGACACTGAAGGTCAGGAAGGAATTAGCCTCTGTCAGGACTTCTAATGGACCTGAAAATGGGAATAAGATAGTTTTATTAGACTTGTGAGTTTTCCTGGCATGTGACAAAGAACAGGAGAGAAAAACTGCCTGGTATTCAGTCTCTGCGGATCCTCGCTTTCGTCCTGTTGTTATTTACCTTTAAGATAAAATCAGGTTTGTTCTTACAGTGTTTCAGAATGTGGGTCTGAGTTCCCATGGGCTCTTTAAAACCTAATTTTTAAATAGAAAACAACTTCCCTGCACATTAATGAATATGACCTTTAAATCGTGATGAATACAGTTTCGTCCCTGTCCGTGATAACTCTCTGCAATGGGAAGTTTGCGCTGAGCCCTGGTCCCTGCTGTCCTCTCCCTGCGGCCAGGGGAGGGGGAGGGGGTGTCCTTGCAGACATCGCCGGCAGGCATGGGGGGCGGCCGGGGCGCTGTCGGTAACGCCAGGAAACGATGCCGGTGTTGAGCCCGTCTCAGGTCATTGGCACAACTTACTTCCGGTCAGCAGCAGTGTTTAAGACCCCTCACTGAGGTGTGGCAGTGCCCGTTCTTGGTAATGTCGCTACACCCAGTTCCGGGGCATTGTCTCCATCAAGACAGTCCTGGGTGAGGTCCAAAGACCAAGGAGAGTCACTCGAGGACTGTGGAGCAAGACAGCCTCATCGGCGCTGGCCGGTTTGGCTCAGCGGCTGGAGCGTGGGCCTGTGGACCAGGACCAGAGAGTCCCGGGTTTGGTTCCCGCTAGGGGCACGTACCAAAAAACAAGACCTCATCGCAGGTTTGGCTGCAGGGGTTTGCTTTGCCCTTGGAGCCTGGCCTTCAGCACAAGGTCCCTGCCCCTGGATGTTGGGGTGTCTCCCTGGGGTCTAGAAAGGGCGTGGCTTTCAGCGCAGCCTGACAGTAGGAGGAAGGGTCCTGCGGTGTGTGGAAGGGCACCCCTCCTTCCCCGTGGCGCTGCGGGGCCTCAACCTTCTCTGCGCCCACACACCAAGTCTCCACCGCCCCACCGCCCTCGGGCGCAAGGGCCCTGTTCGCACGTGGGAGTAAACCAGGCGGCAGGCAGGGGGGCCTTGAGGTCTCCGGTGACTGCGCGCTGCCCAAGTGCTACCAGGACAGCTCAGCTCAGCAAGGGAAGCGGGAGCGCACCCTACAATAACCTTTTAATGTTTGTGTTATACACTTGGGGCTCTGATGATGTACGAGGAAAAGGAGGTAACATGTTCTCTTAAACATGCCAGTGAAAGAATTAAATCGCCACCTGCCTTATCATAAAATACTTTTGCGGGGTATGTTGGTGTTTATTTATTTATTTTTGTTTGTGTAAGTTATGTTACCAGTAGTTACCTTGTTCTTTTGTAACTGTAATTTTCAAAAAGTTATGCTATTCTCCAGCTTCTTACTTTGATAACATTGATTCTTTTTCTCATGTTGATATACTCTTGTATAATGTGAAATAAATACTTTTGAATAATAAAAAAAATTATTTTTAAATTATCTACTTTAAAAAATCTTGGGAGAGCCTGGCCAGTGTGGCTCAGTGGTTGAGCACCATGAGGTCGCTGGTTTGATTCCCGGTCAGGGCACATGCCCAGGTTGTGGACCAGATCCCCAGTGGGGGGCGTGCAGGAGGCGGCCAGTCAATGTTCTCTCTCATCAATGTTTCTGTCTGTCTTTCTCCCTCTCCCTTCCTTTCTCTCTAAGATCAATAAAGAAAAAAAAAAAAATTTTTTTTTTTTGTTAAATCATGGGAGAGATACTATGTGTCTATAGTTATGTTGTCTTTGTTATGCTTAGGGTTTCCAGAAAAAAATTGATATGCTTCTAAATGAACACACTAAAAAGGCAATTTGAAACAGCAATTTCAATTTACAAATGTCTAACTGATTTTCTTATTTAAATTAGATTATGTTGATAATTTAGAATGGTCTGTGGATCAGGAGGTTTTTATTTCAGTTGCTTTTTAACATGTACCTTGATAGTTATAAAGGTGTTATCCAGTTCAACTTCAAGTACATCTTGATCTTAGGATGGCATCACAAATTTGAGCAAAAAAGAATGAACTTAGCGTGTAATTTATTATGTAACACTAGGTACCAGGCATCATGCTGGGTCCTTCACAGGCGCCTAATTGCCTCCTGTTGAGTAGAGTGGACTCCTAATTTTGCTATTTTCAAGGCTAAAGACCTGCAGCTCCAGGAATCGATATAAAGTGTCTAGGCTCACAAGTCAGGGGCAGAGGAGGGTCTGACACCATCCAGTCCAGTGTGGCCTCAAGCACCCGCTCTAAACCCCACTGCCAGGAGCAGGCTCCAGGGCGGGTTCGAGATCAGGCACTGAGGACTCTTACACAGGGATCCAGCTGATAAACCATTGGCGGTTGGAAATTAGCCATGGTAGGAATATTAACGCTGTGAAGGCCAGCACATGCCGCAGACTGGGGCTTGGCCCATGCGCCTCTTCCTCTCCTCCACCAGGTCACTGACACCATTGTCTCTACCACCAAAGTCTTGTCGAAGTTCCCCTCTACATAGATACCAGGTGTAGTTTCCATCATATGCCAAGTACTGCCTGTAAACTGGCCTCCATGAAGGAATGACCATTTACAGCTATTGAATAATTATCATTTTAATGTCATAATATCTAAAATAATTTCTTATAGAGAAGAACATGTGAAATTAATTCTCTCTTTTGTTTTCAGTGATTGTGGAAAGTGGGAATGTAATTCCTTTTGTGGCTTATATTAATTCTGGACATTGTAACATTTATAGAAATATCACAGGACTCCTGCGAATATCTCCAAGGAAAGTGGTAGGTTTCAAATGTGTGTATTCTCTTAGTCCATTCACTTACTTGAATGAATAAAGGGTGTCGGATATTTTTTCACAGGCATATTGGACATTGATTATTTGTTTGTCTTCTTTGGTGAAATTTCTGTTCAATGTTTTGTACTGTTTTTTGTTGGGTTTCTTCTCTCCTTCTCAGTGAGCTGTAAGATACCAGAATGTAAGACAAGTTGTAAGATACATTGACTTGTTGATATACCAATGGCCGACATGCCAAATGACCAATAAGCACACTGGAAACTGAGTAATATTCTTATTCATCAGAGAAATGCCAATAAAAGCCATCACAAGGTATTGCTGTGAGCATATCAGGTTGGCTAAAACATACTCAGCACATGACCCAGCAATTTCAGTCTAGATATTTACTCAAGATCAATGAAATTAGATGCCTAGGAAGAGACCTGCATGAATCTTCATGAGCAAACATTTCTAAGTCATCCAAACGCCCATGGACAGTTGAATGGATAGTAACAAAGTGTATCCCAATGATGAAACACCAAGGCTCCACGAAAAGAATGCATGATGCATTTGAGCATATGTGTTAGGTTGGGCAAAAACGTCCAACCCAGAAGAGTGCATTCATTCTCCATGGTTCCAGTCTTACGAAGTTCTAGAACTCAAGCATGAGTGTGCAGTGACAGGGTCAGATGGAGGCTGTGTCCCTGGTGAGGCCGTCTTCAGTGAACTCACTGAATGTGTGAACTTGAGTTCTGCTTACAGTGACAGTCAGGGTGAAGACGGCCGTTTATTAAAGAGTGACGCATCTTCAGGTTAGATGCTGGCTTTTGATCTCTTCTTAGACTTTCTGTCACCTTCCTATCCTGAGGGCAACATTCGATTTTTTTGTTTGTTTCTTTCATGCTTTTTCTCACCTCACTGCGCACCAACTCATCCCTGTTTCAGAGAAAGCATACTAAGCTAAGCTGGGCGTGCAAGGTGGCAGCCTAGGACCTTGAAAAATGGGCTGAGTTCCATATTTCCTGAGCATCTTGGCAGATTAAAAAACTTAATTTGCACATCACTAAATGACAATGCTCCCAGAAACCTGAGGTGGGCTGAAGCTGTCTACGGAGTGGCTGCTATTCTAATATAATTTAAGCGCATGTGTAAGCAAATGTTTTCTCTGGTGTGCATGAAATTGCAGTTTATTTTAAATACCACACACCAAAGTGATTTATGAACAGCAATTCTGATAGAAACTATTTTTATCCGTGAAATGAGCATGGTTTCTTCAAACATCACTTATCTGTCTCTCTCACAGAAGAAGATCCGAAAGCTGGTTTACATGGGGCAGCTGCAGAAGCAGGAGTCTTTCGGGGAGATCAGTGTGCTCCTTCAGGCCCCTTTCACGTGCACGGTGGTCGCTGCGGAAGACTTGAAGATGGCCGTCATTAAGGATAAGGACATACTTGGTAAGTACAGACACACTTTGTTTGCATGCTGATGCCATTTTATTTGCTGCATTTTTGACAAGCACGGGCAGCTTCCATGGACGAAGAGGGACACTCGAGTCAGTACAGGTGGATCTGTGTTCCTCACAGAGACGGTGCGGTGCGTCTGTAGATAACCCTCCTTATGACTCCATATTCTGTCTCATTTCACTGTGCTCCTTTAGAATATATTAGGAATTTTCAGATGACTGATTTGAAATCACTGAAGTATCTCTTTTAATGTCCAAGTTACCACGAATAGCAGCACTTCCTTCTTCTCTAGAATATCTTTGCGTTTGTTTATCTCTAAAATCATCGATTCTGGTTTTCCAACATAAACATATAGTCTAGATCACGTGTCTATGTAGATCTATGACTGGTATTTAAGCCTGATCTGAAATTCTAGAGCTCTAGTAATATTAAAAGGATGATCATGCAGCTACCTGTCTTTGGCCCTCAAACATTATGAATACTCAAATGAGATAAGCAATTCAGTCTAAAGGATAAATGAATTGGGGTGAGTAAATCAAAACATAATAGGTTAATAAAAAAAAGTATAATTTTATGCACAATTAAACTAAAAATGTCAAACACTGAATAAGGGCTAAATCAAAGAGGAAAAACTAATAAAAATGAACATGGGTGAGATATTTGTTTTCAATAAACTTGGTTAGGAAGATTTTCATGATTCTACAGGTATAATTCGACCAAATCCCCTTTTCCTGAATCTTAAGTATTTTTGTGTGTGCGTCTCTTAGAAAATATGTACCCTCAAGCTGCTTACCTCTGACTTGACTTAGTTTCAAATTCATGTATTCACTTTCAAAGTTGTAAATTTGAAATAGCATTGCATTAATTTTCTTTCCTTCTGTGACATTCAGACACAACTCCCTCCTCAGAGTAAATACGACTTAAAAATAATTACTAACTACCAATTAAAATGACAACCTTCTTTTGATACAGGCTAGATTTCTCCTTTCCTGCACTAATTATACTAACCAGTGCAAGGCATATATACTGCAGACTCATTTATGTAAATCAGCTTTTCACACATGAGCGTGCTTCTTTCAAGCATGTAGTAGAGTCTTCTTTGCCATATGGTAACCTAAAACCGAAATCGATGGTGTAGTGCACGTTTGGCTTGCATTTCTGCTGTTCATATTTAAATTTCATTCTCTATTTTGTTCATCTGGGGCCTATATTACAGAACTACAGACACATTGTGTGTCTAATTAGTTAAATACCTCCAACATAAATGGTCTTGTGGACTCTCTTGGGCTTGTTCTTCATTTCTACATTCTAATTATTTTATATTTTATTCCCAAAAAAAGTGAAAACGTATTTTAAAAGCTGAATAGTTTTACTGAAAAATTTGACAGTTAATTTTGCTGGAAGGATCATCGTCACACATGAACAATGATGATCTTTATATTTGCATTTTCATATTACCTGATTCTGCTTCTGTTTATTCTGCCTTTTATCCTCTGAAATATGAACCCAGCTCTGTGAAAGAGTATAGGGAAGGACCCACAGGGAAGGAAAACATGCCTTGAAAAATACCAAGCTGAAGACGAATGAAAACGTTAAAGCAGAGTGAGAGACATGAAGATGTTTTTAGCCACTACAGTGCATTGGTGTGAGACAAACAGAGTGAACTTACTAGGGAAAAAAGAAATTAAGTAAAACCATATGTGCCAACAGAATCCTCAGTCCTATGTTGATTACATTACCAGTACCTTCTAATCTATTAAAGATTGTTAAATGGAGTGTTTTTCTTAGAATTATAAAATATATTACTGAAAGAATAAATTTCATATCTTTTCTTAAGCATACAAGGTCCTACCCTCTATTTGCTCCCATGCAAATCCTATTAAAGAGCCAATGCCATTGAAACGATACAGTTTATCAACAGTCGTTAGTAAACACCTAGTGTGAGCATAGCACTCACTGCCTATCCCTGGGGACGACGAGAGCACAATCCAAGTAGCATAAATGACTGCGCAGCACTCCAGGGTCTCCCTGGAGAGTACATGCACTGGTGTCTCGGCACCATTGTAGAGGAGACCTGATATAATTAGTTTCACAATATTTACACTGACTTGAAGAGTGATTTCTTTGTTCACTTGGGTTGTTAACTTCTAGAAGATAGGAAATAACTGTTTTGTAATCTCTGTTCACATTTCTCAGTCATTACCTGGAGCATCTAAATAAAAAATGAGAACAGAGTTATTAAGCTTAAGCAAATGGAAATATACTTTATTTTCAATAAATACCACTGGGTATGCAGTTTATTGGGTCATTATTTTTATGAAGGTGATATATTTCTGCCCAGGTGTGGAACTGATACCTCAAGTCATTAGATCAAAATTATGTATACCAGCTACTTTGATTTTACTGATATCTGAAATCCTCATCCTACCTTCCAAACAAGTGTACTACTCTTATAATGAGAAAGAACTGCCTTTTATATATAAAAATGAATTGCCTATATTATTAATTGCATTTTAGCCACACATGATTGAAAAAAATAAGGGCCAGCTCTGGATTTAAATCGTCTTTTCTGAAAGGAAAATTCCACATCCAAGGTGACATTGGTACTGTCACCAAACAAATAGTCAGCTGAGTATCTCCCCAGCAGATGGGTTTATTCAGGAACAACAGAGAATGGCAGTGGGGAACATGCAACCATGATGGGCCAGGAGCTGGTCTGCTGGAAGGGGAGAGGAAGCTGTTTTGTAGAGGGAGGAGAAGCTTGGGGGAGACGTTACAAACAAGTCCTTCTCGGTGAGCTTTGTGATAGGCTAGGGCTAAGCCCTCCCCCTTCTGCCCCGCCTACTTCATTTTCACTTCAGTTTCTGTTTGCTCATTTAGTACAGTACAAACTATCTGAAAGTGTTTTGTTTTTCAGCCTTGTTGAAACAAGGCCTTCAAAAATTAGGTTGCTTCTCCCCAAAAATGGGAGAGAGAGAGAGAGAGTATAAAAGTGTTTGTTTTTAAACAAGAAGAATGTCAAAGACTTTCTACTTTTTAAAAAATATGTTTTTAATTGATTTTTTTTAGAGAGAGAAGAAGAGAGAAAGAGATATAAACACTGATGTGAGAAACATTGATTGGCTGCCTCCTGCATGTCCCCTACTGGGGTCGAGCCTGCAACCCCAGCACGTGCCCTGACTGGGAACCAAACCAGGACTCAGTCCACGGGACAGTGCTCCACCCACTGAGCCACACCTGCTGGGCCAACTAGTTTCTCTTAATCAAAAGCTTGGGAAACCAGATATTTGACTGTAGATAGATAGTTCTGTTAGATGGTTCCAACGCCATGAATATATTCTTACCAAGAAGATCTATTTCCAAATACATCAGTGTTCGTCCTCCGAGCCCAGGTGAGTGATGACCAGCCGCCTCGCTGCAAACAGTGTTAATCAGAGGAGCTTAAACCCAACAATTTGCCTCAGTAAATAGGCTTCTGTTTCCCCCTTTGTTTTTTGTTTTGGCTTTATGATAAATTTTGATATGAAAACACATTTTTAAGTTAAAAATAAGGTGTGACACTTACTTTTTCTTTATGATTCTGTTTTACTAATTACTAATAATGTTAAAAGAACAAAAAGAAAGTTAATTTGAGTAAAACTTTTGTTTGGGGGTTTTGGGACCAAGTTTTGGTTGAAAAAATTATATTTCATGTACCTGTTTCTCAGTATATTATTTATTTATTTATTTTATCCTCACCTGAGGACATTTTGCATGTATCTTCAGATAGAGTAGGAGGAAGAGAGGGGGAAGAGAGAGAGAGAAACATCGATGTGAGAGAGACACATCGAGTGGTTGCCACCCACATGACCCTAACCTGGGCCGGGGACAAACTGCAATTGAGGTACGTGTCCTTAGCAGGAACTGAACCTGGGTCTCTGGTCCGTGGGCCGGCGCTCTAACCGCTGGGCCACACCAGCCAGGGCTCAGTATGTTCTTTTACACCATGCCCAGTGCAGCCCTGTCCGTCCTCACGGTGGCTCTCCTTATGCACAAGTCTGCACCTGGTCTACCTGGCCCAGTGTGCACAGGACAACATCCCCATATCTCTTGCTCTGCAAACGTTGAGCCATGTACACAGCTTGTTTGTTAGCACTGAACAAGCTGTCTTTTGCCTTCAGACTTTCCTAGGGTAGTCAGGCAGTTTGCTGCGGCTTCTGCCTGTTGGAATGACAGCTGTCCGGGGGCTCCTGCTGAGGGTTCTCACTGCAGCTGGGTGATGCAGAGACACTGCCATCACAGCCCCTTGGGGAGTGCATGGCGAGTTCTTCAGAGAAATCTTCGTGACCCTCTAACAGTCTCCATTCTCAACTCTTTTATAGCCTCAATATGGTTGAGGGACTTTGGAGATTTCGAATTCTTCTCATCTATTTAAAAAAATCTGTACCCCGTGATGTAATGTTCTGCCTTAGGTTCTCAGCTGATTCACTTTAAAATCTTGAAACATTCATGAAATGCCAGGCACTTGTCCACATACTTCACATGTTTCATTTCATCAAACATTCACGACGCACGAGATACATGCGTTGAAGGTGTGTGTGTGTGTTTACGTCTCGGCAATTGTAGAGAACACTGCAGTGAACACAGGGGTACAAATACCTTTTCGAGGTAGTGTTTTAACGTGTTTGGATAAGCACCCAAAAGTGGAATTGCTCAATTGTATGGTAGTTCTATTTTGAATTTGTTTGAGGACAGTGCAATGTATGATATTTTTCTACTTTTCCTAGAGTCACAGAAAGAACAATATCAGCTTTGCGTTTGATCGTGGTAGCTCACTTTACCAAGGGAAACTGACATTATTATTTCTTTCTTCCTCTCCCCACTCACCATTTCTGCTACTTGAATTGATTCCTAGTCATGATTACATATTTACTTTGTATCAGTTTCTTTTCTATAGTAGATAGATTATAAATTTTAAAACATTATAACTGTATCCAGTATCTGGCATGGAA